CAAATCACCCCACGAGTTTTTCCATACGATGCCATCAATCTATCAACCATAATACGGTCCGTGCGAGCAGTTAACATTTCTTGATGGAAGATATTTAAAAATCTAACCTTAGTCCCAGTAAAATTGACTACTTTATTCATAGGTCTGCCGTTAAATTTTCTCCTCATTTCCTATTGTAGACATTCACATCTCCTGATGACACATCGCGAGGCATTTTAGAGTCCATTAGCTACCTAGTCATTTCGTTTAGGTATAAATGAAAGCGCGCTTAAATTACTCGAATGTCGTCACTTCAGTTTGACTTAACGCTGGCACCTCTGAGATGGAAGGGCTCTGTTCCACACTCTCTGCTTGTGTCTTCGATTCTACTGAAGAGCAGCGGCTAGCTCCTTAAGTGCTTAAGCGGTAGCGGGTCGAATAGCGACGAGCGGTTAGTGAAGAGATGTTTCGAAATTCTCTTCGCGGACGAGTTTTCCTTTTGAGCGTTTTGCCCTGTAGGGACCAGCCCGTTTCAAATTGGCGATCTGCCCACATGATCCGAAAAGTGCAGTTTGGGTGGTCATTAAGCTGGGACGAGCTATCTTGAGTACTGCTGCGCATTTCGATGCGGTGGATCTACTTTAAGCAATGCGAGGTCCTTTTCTATCGTCAGCATTTCTACCTTTCACGTAAGACGACCGAAATAAAACAGCATGCTCATAGAAAGTCCTGTATTTCGTCGTCCACACATCTAATGTTACTCAGACAGCCTACATTGAAGATGATTGTATCACGTCTACTGCTAAACGCAGCAGAGCCGGTGTGAGTCATTGACTTCCAATAGATAGGTGGAACCGGACGATGCTTTCCCCATTTCAATGGTTCTTATAAGTGTCATCGATGAAAAGGATCTAAAAGAGACGAGGTCCTATACCGCATGTCCCGGTGGCTGCATCTTTAGTTTCCCTTATAATTCCCGACTTCAACCCTCGCTGCGTTCGGAGACTATTGGCTGTTAATTGAACATCATGGGTAACATTAGTTTCGAGTGATGAAGGAAGGTAAACTACAAAAACACCGAAATGTTTCTGGAACGAACGTCGGTGCTGTTGGTTCCAAGCCTAGGCCGTAAGCAGAAGTGCCAAAAAAGAATGGTTACTATAGGGCTTTAGCTTACAAAGACCTGACTAAGTCCCAGGCGGATGCAGTCCAGGAATCTATGACTATCTAACTGTCCAACGGGTCGTAGTAAGCCTGGATTCTTCGCCGACGCTAACGGCAAATGAGAGAACTCCTCATTGGCGTAGGGACGGAGCAATTGGATCCCAAGAGAGACATTAGTGAGATTTCTTTATTTGTCGTTCGACTTGGTGGGGGACGAAAACTGCTCGACTACGGCCCAATACGGACCTTGGGATATGGCCCTGGGAAAGATTCCTAGGTTTGCGGTTGTAGTACAATGTTAATTTTTAGAAACGCTTCTTTTCAAGAACAATAAATGCGTAAAAAAAGTAAAAACTCAGCTCCACTGACTAGTGAAAACCTACATTTATGTATTTTTATATTTATGAGTAGTTTTTCGCACTAGGTTTCCTCCTCTAAACATTAAATCCTTGTTGTGGGTTCAAAATGTATGTTCTGCATTTTACTGTGGAATAATTGTGACATGCAAGGTATACTTTGACAATCGACTCTTTACGAACTTGGAATTTATCCTTATATAGAATCAAAGTGAACCCGAAAACGAACGCCCGAGGCAGTTTACTTATATTCTTGCAAAAAAAAAAACCGCTTAAACTATGATACGCTAGCATTTCCATATCTTCAAATTTGTGCTATATTTTTCGGTTGTATATAGCCTTACAAAAGGTGCGACTACTCTAAATACACCGGTATCGTTTGCCTATAATAAGCTTCCAGCCATGGATTTTGAATTAAGAAAACGCATCAAACATGCTGTTATAGAGGGTTTGCGATACCTATGATGTATTTGAACAATGCAGCCCACTTAACCTGAGATGCGGGACGATTCTAGAACATGTGGCGAAGGTTGGAGGATTAACAAGTTCATTCATGAACAAGTTATCATTATGGGAAAAATTGCAATTTTTTGTGGGTGCTGGAATACAAGTAGTTTAGATACTCTGTCAGTGTAAAGGCTTTAGACAACTCGAATTTATATGAAGCAATTTACCTGAAGTAACACTGTCAACGCTTCGCACAGCGAATACCCCTAATCATTGCCAAAATACGTACGGCTGTGGTAATTACTCTAACTGTATTTAGATACCGATTCGTTTATGGCTGTATAATATTTTTAAGTTTATGAAACTGTTCGGCCGACAAGAATGGACAGTTAGCATGTCGTCCCACAATCTATATTGTCCGCAGGCATTCGGAACGACTGCAGTACATAGCCTCTTGCAACTCGCACATAAGTCATGGATTTTAACAGACACCATAGCTCTAAGAGCAATTCGGAACACGTTGCTAAGAAAAACAACAAGTTTTTAGGGTTCCACCTTGGTCTGCTGGCGTCTAAGAATGGATTTGCTAGAGCACGTCTTCCAAATGCGGTTCCTACGAAGTGGTTTTCTTTAGCCCTAAGGGACATTTTTGCGTCTTTGGTGGCCTAGACAGTGTCCACAGACCATGGCATCATCTAAGATGAACCCCTCCAACCGTTGCCAAGGTGGTCAGCAGACCTGCTAGTCCCTTGGGAGTTTCAACAAGTCATGTACGGCCTATGTGGGTGCAAAGAATGACGGGGAAGCAAACGTACTTGTAGACGTCGTTTGTCTACTATGAACTAATCTTGTCTCTGGAAAGAACACAACATGAAACCATTTGCTAATCTTCTCTCTCTACAAGATATACAACAAAATGGCGGCTTTACGGTAAAAGACTAGTTTTTTCCTATTCCTCTGGGGTAGTATGCTATAAGAATTAAAACTACGTATACTAATACTCACTAGCAGATTTACAAATAGTCGGTGGTGACGAACGAGCTGAGAGACTATCCCCGTATTACCTGGTCCATACGAGTTGTACTATTTAAGGCATAGTACCAGTAAAAAAGTGGGCCCAGTTTCAATATGATGTAAGAAAGTGTTTGGAAGCGGTTTAGCCCGCCAATATATAGTCGGTGATTCGGATATGACCATAAACAAGTTGTATATGAACAAAAAGTATATGTTTATTTACAAAAAATAGGTGCTACTATTTTTTATTTTCGAATGTATTTGTGAATTAAATTCGGAGATTATCACCAGCAGATAATGCGAAAATACCACAAAAGTCTACCTAAATTTAACCGAATAGCTGTTAAATTTTTACTTTCTGAGAACATTTGCTTTCAGGACCATAGTTTTATCTAATAAACGTACCGAAAATACTATGTTAACAACAGAAGATCTCTTATTGATACTAGTTTTATCAGGTTAGTACCTATGGCACAAATGGGTCAGGTGCATTTTAAAGCGTCAGTATTCAGGTCCACCGCACAGAAATGCAGCAGGTTCTTTTATTGCATTGCTTTATAGCTGATAAACAAACAGTAACCATGAAGATCATATGTTGCTCAGTCATCCATGGAATACAATCTCGTTGGGGCCAGAAAGCTAAAAACGGTGAAGTATTGAGCGTGTGAAACCTCGCGACGTTGTACTTATCGAGCTCTTTGTGTGTTTAATGTACTTATTACGAAAGTATTTTTTGCGAAATACGAAAGCAAGTCTGACGCTTAAAAACATGTTTAAAACCAAAAAAATGTAATAGACCATCCAATCAATTTTCACAGCATTCCTCACAAGATCAGAAACAAGTTAACTCAATGCTTTGAAATGTTACGTCATAAACGTGCAATAGTTAAGTCAAATTGTTTTTTAAACCTGAATTAAACTTTAATGATACATACGAGAGCGAACACTATGGTTGAAAATGCGAAATAGATGTGGAAGCCCCAATCACGCGGCTGAACATGCCGTATCTCTTCGGAAGTCACATACTACCATCCGAGTTTAGCCATTCACTGTATTATGAAAGCATCGGAAAAAGGAACAAAAGGGATGTCTTCAAGTTTCAGTCCGATTGTCGCTGCCGTAGAAGGTCATGCGTCTGCGAACGTCGAAAATTTCTCCGGACGTTCTCCATCATGAGGAAATATTAGGACGAGTTTACTGCAATTACAGTCATTGTATTATTATCCCCAAATCAATTCGGCAGGTTGATCCGGAGGCGAATCACTCAACGATAGGACGTGCGATGGCCACAAATTGGCCGGCGTGGACCGACAGCGGGCTTGAGGCTTTGTCGGATCAAAACGGCTTTTTTTCTTTTCGCAGTCCGCTATTCTCGACTTCCTCTTCCGTCTTCGGCTCCATCGCCGCTACCTGCTATACTTACTCCGGCACTTCTCAGACCGAGTCACCCGTCGATATTGTATCTGAGTGACAAGCGTACCATCTTTCTTTTCTCTCTTCTCGTATATATATATATAGTCCTTGGAGGACGACAAGGTGATGTACGTTCCATCGTTGAAGATAGACGGTGAGCGTGTCAATTCAGTTACACAGAAACGAAGCCGCTGTCAGTAGCAGGCAGAGTAAACAGCGAGATGCATGTTATCGTACGTCCAATTGCGGACAATGAAGCATGCCGTTGTAAAGATGCCTGCTCATTTCTGTACGGCGTGTGTGGGGTGTGTGCGGCAAGTTCTTGGATTAAGGTGCATATAAAGAGTCTATGTGTTATGTGGAACAGACGACAATATTTTAGTATAATCAAAAGAAGCATACGATTAAGCATTCATACACGTGCATAATTCATGTTTTATAAGGCTCAAAACGACGACGATAAATACGCCATTTTGTTAAGATATGCAATAGACTAAGTTCGAAAATAACACGAACGTAACAGTCCGTACCGGGACATAATGTATTTAAACCCATAGTTTTATAAAATGCATCTGAAAATTTAAAGCCGGCCTAACATGACAGCAATATTACGCACTATGTTTTCAGGAAACGGAGTATCCCAACTACAAGCAGCTGTATGCCAAACTGGACAAGGACGCAGCAGTTCGAAATCTTAGCGAAGCTATTCAGCGGGTGAAAAATGAGGACTTTGCTTTATTCTTGGAGACACCCTATATCGAGTATTTCGTAGGGCACGATTGTTCACTGCAACAGGTAAGGGCAGCAACTATTAAGGTATATAAACATTTTCCCCCTATTCTTCGAGAATATACTACATAGTAAATGTAGACGAATTTTTAGTGAATGTAATCGTTTGGTTGCAGGTTGAGGGCACAGTGGGAAGTGTAAGCTATGGAATTGCGATGTCACAAGGGTCATCTTTACAAAAGTAAGCCAGCATATATCGACATTATAAACAGATAGCGTGTTCGGGTAACGTATAGGAGAGAAATTGAAAATTGCTGGGAACTAGGCTATCAATGCGACCGAACCCCATATCCATACACGTACGCAATATACACATTTCCGATTGTGCGTTATACGTTTCACTCAAACTCTCCGTAAAAATCTAAATTTTATTCATTAATAACTTGTTACATGTCAATATTTGCATATTTACGTGTGGTCCGGTCACCACTATAGGTAAAGAAAGTGTAAGTAAAGTATGATGACATTATATACATTTACTGAAAATCGTATACTAGAGGTTTCTGTTAGATTAGAAAACTAAATTTCGCAGTTCCGCAGCAGGAGAAGGAATAGTAAATGTTCAATTAGTTTTCATTAACGTCGCCTTGGGTACTAGTAAAAAATTGGACTAAATTGGAAGAAGATAAGATTATTCGAAAAGTGCAATAACCCATACAGGCATAAATATGTATAATAAAAAGCAAGGATGGATTTTAGTTAAGGACACACAGATTAATTGGGGCTACCTGGAAGGGTGGCTCATAACCTTATCGAAAGGAAGTTGCACTTAAATAGATGAAATATCTATTTATGTGCAACTTTTTTCGCAAGTCTTGCATCCGGCTCTATTGGCTTAGATGGCGTTCGTGTGAGACGGATAGCCTTCCCACCCCGAAATGAAGTGTCTGCCCTCGGTTTCGAACCGGAGCGACCTCACATGCCTCTAAGTTTTGGTAGCCAAACATTTTACCACTGTATAATGACGGGGAACTTTGCGGCACTCCCGATTGAATAGACGCCTGTCTGTTACAAAACGATGGTCAAGAGCTCATCAAGGGCAGAAGCAGATAGAACCAGCGGCCAATAATTATTCATTACCACGACTAACATATAAAATTGCGGAGAACATCCCCACCATTCGGTAACCCGTGATGCTATGTTGAGTTGAAATTTAATGAAAGAAACTCAATAGTAACGCAGCACGAAATGTTTGGTATACAAAAGGTACGAACTTTTGCTACGCTGCGTATATACCATTTAGGTCGCGTTTGTTGTACTGAGGACTGATAAATTACCTTTGTGCGACATCGACGAGTGGTAATCAACGTGTGTGGCGTAGGTCTCTCGCGCTTCATGTGCACTAGACCGGATCTAGACAACCCTAAAATATTTTTTGTCGTCTTGCAATCTGTCTCCATATTCACCGTTCTCTTTCACTAAGTCATCGACGTTTTCTTTTTGCGCGCCACGTTTTTCGCTTTGACGAAACATATCGTCGTTTAGCGCTAACTATATATTGGGTAAACCCCTCTACGACGACCACTTATGCTATTAGTGAGAAGCGTGGCTGCGCAAGCCTTTGGCTAGAAAGCGAGGCGTGCCCACAAACCCAAAGTGCTGAATAGTGCCCACATATGGCTGTCACAAGCTGGGCACGCATAGGGACATAAAGGAAATGTTGGGACGAAGAAGCACCGAAAAAGATATCCGTGTCTAGCGTTTTTAGGCACCGACATCTCAAAGTGGCGAAATCGTAAAGAGAAACTGAGACAAAGGACAAGGCGAAACCCTGTATAGTATTATTGGAAGCTTGTAGAACGTCAGTCGGGCAAGGTGATAAAAGCTTCCCGTATATAAATGGCAAAATTTTCAATATGTCGAGAGGTGGTGTTGGCAGAATCTGCATTGTAAGGTAAGTAAACAGAGGTGGCGACAATCAGGTTATAGGACGTAAACGATAGTGAAATAAACATTAACAAATGGAAATAGAGCGAATGTTGGATGTTTGTTGAACTGATTGAGGAGAGCGGTCTGTGTAAATATAATCTTTCTGTAAACTTGATAAAAAAAAAAGCCATGAACCTATACTATTCTTTTCTTATCACAACATTCGGTCTATATCGCAGACTATAAAAATATTTGATCTGACACAATGAGCCATAGGCAAAAAAACAAATCGATAATTAGATTTAATTAGGTCTGTTATTTTTCGAATTCTGAGGAGTAAAAATATTTCGACTGATAATTAATATTCACGTACGATAGTCCTAGACTAGATCAGCTTATCTCAGCTTTGTCGAGCTGTCATCAGCATATTTTGGGGTTACCTTTATAGTCAACGTGATTAACGAAAACGATCTAAATACTCCCAAAAAAAATCTACTGCCAACGGCATTTTTCTCCCAGACGATTGATGTATCCGAATGAGTGCGGTAGCGACGAAACTGATACCGTCACTGAGTCATAACGCTTCGCTATTATATTAATCGTCGTCGTAATATCGTCTCTCGCAGCCGTCGTCGTTGTATGAAGTATTCTCTTCAGGACTAGATTTGCATGTACCTTACACTAAGGAAGTGAAATTAATCAATTTTTATAATTATCGGGTCAGTCCTGTGCCAATAACATGTAGTGGCGAAATTTTTAAAAATTGCATCGAGCAGCCTACGAGGAAGCATGTAATCCGTCTTATACGAGACACCAAGAACGGCACGCGACGGAAAAACAAATCACGAGTTATGTACCCTGGACGATATATGATAAACGCTAGAGTTTTTCTGCGGTATTGCGCAAATGACCCTTCACTAAAGAAGGATCACAGCAGTACATTTGCTATTGAAATTCATACCGTATACGCAATCAATGAGAAATGGTTAATATCGAAACAAGTTATTGTTTATCCAAAAATTAATATAAATCTAGACAATTTTCTGTTATTTTTCTCCTACGAAGAATCCGTAGGGTAGAGATTCCATTTTGTATCATATTATTGCCTCTGTTAGTAGACTGCCAAGATCCCGTGGGACAAATTTCGGCCGTAATGCCTGTGTGTACGATCTGTCCTGTTGGACGGAGGCCAGCTACTGCGAGTGTCACTAGATTCGGCCTTTTGTGCAAGCAAGGTAGTCGACGAATCAGTCAAGCAGTAGAAATTGCTAACAATCGCTGGCATAGACACATTCGCTGTGACACGCTAACATACACTATAATATCATGCAGGCACCAAGAAAGGTAGGAGCTGATATTTAATACACAAATCTATTCTCTTCGTTGACAAAGCGGTCATATGCAATTCAATAGAAATGTAGGCTGAGCTGTCGCCGTTTGGTGTGTAGACGCTGGGTAAAAGATGGGTCTGCGGAGTCGAGTAGCAACCAGAGTAAAGAATACAAAACGTATGACGCGGCTGGTTCCTGCATGAGAGTTAACATTGGAGGAACAAGATGCTACACGTCCTCATGTATATGTTGTATGATATCGTAAAAATGTGCTGTTTGTCAGACCCGAAGTATCAAAGCAATGAGATTTCGATTTAGAACTCTCTCTTATGTTTTCTCTGTCGGGAACACAAAGTTGACAAACTCTAGTAAACATTTCATCCAATTAACAATTAACAAACAACACTCCAATAGAACAATTAGTACCAGTGCTCTGAGTAGCGAAACTAGAAAAAATCAGCTAGAATTTTTTATTGTTTCTACTTTGGATATATGAGCATTTCACCATCAGACCGTGGTAATTTTTTTACACAAGGATAGTTCACGGTTTTAACCCACCTAATAATAACATACGGTGTCACACAATGTTAAGGAAATTACGGTCCACTAGGTTTATCAGCATATTAAGTATATCTAGCTTCAATAATTACACCGACTGTTCCCATGCCTAAACTCATTTATTTGTTTGAGACCGACGATGAGCTGTCGTAACGATGGGATGAGTCTTCCTGAACGCTTTGCGTGTTTTTTCGGTAGCAAATTGTGTAATTTGTTCAAGCATTATAAGATTGCTTACTTTTCCGAGTACTCTGTACCTTACTATATTGCGTATTGCAAATAAACGCGCACCGCAAAAACCAACCGTTGTCTACAGACAGCGAATTTTTCCAGTCACCCCCTTCTCCACATTTAGACTATACCACAGTGGAGCCCACCGCCGGATCACGTCTGCCTGTCAACCTTTATGCCTGTCGCTTCGCGGTGCTACCTAGTGTACTTAGCACCGCTCTTGGAACGGGACGAAAACACTTAGACAGTAACAGCAGCATCCTGACTGCGTACGATGCGTCAACCGTATGTTATGCGGTGATGATGGCGTGGCTATTGGCCACAAACAACAAACTGCTAACACACAACATGTATTCACATGCGACAAGTCTCGGACCTCAGACCTCAAAGAGGCATTGCCTTCGTTCAACTACACCGCTATTTTTTGTACTTGCCTATAGCAATACATATTTTTTTCTTCGTTTACATATTGTCCCAGTACCATCGCTCTATTATATATTCAGGAGTCAACTGTCCTGGCCAGGAGGACTGGCAGGAACAAGGAGCAACTCTGCTAGCTCAGCCAGGAAGGCCAGCGGGAGTTACACTAACATCCAAGCTACCACTGGCCGGCACGGCTATGGTTCGAAAAACTGCAACGCAGGTGAGCACTTACAGTTGGCCGTGTTAAAAGAAGGAAGTGCTTCGGCTCCGAAGTGCTTGAGTCGACGGGACCGCGAAACGACTCAACAATTCACGTACGTGCCTGCACGCATCAGTTTCACCGCGGTCGGTCGGGCGTGCAGGCAGGCAGGCAGGCAGGCAGGCGGATATCCCGGGGCGTCGGCAGCAGTTTTAGCTGGCACTCCGTCTGCGTGCTGGCGCTATTGTCGACCGCAGACGGTGGCAGGCGTAGGGGCTTTTAGGATATCTATGGGTGGATATGTGCGTCTGTAATAAGCTGAAGGAAGTTTGTCCGTCCGTTTGAAAAGTGTACCTGTAGATAGTTTCTATGTCGCGGTGGTACATGTATTTGTAACTGAAAGCTTGGCTCGGTCGATTGTCAAACTTAAGGCTGTGAAGCAAAGCGATTTCGATTCGTTTTGCTTTGGGTCGTGAGTATAACCGCAATGCGAATAAGAAGAACTAAATAAATCGATTTATGCTGTAAGTTTAAAACATATTTTAGATAATTCTTGATCTAAATAACTGA